TTATTTATTTATTTATTTATTTATTTATTTATTTATTTATTTAACATATAAGGCTGCCCAACTCAAACAGTGTAACTCTGGGCAGCATACAGCATAAAAACAAACAATATATCAAAAAAGAAAAAAAACATATAACAATAAACAATACAATCTGTAAATATAAAATGGTGACCAAGCACATAGCAAAGCAACTACAAGGGACTCCCATTCAACTGGCCCCTAATGCCTGGGGGAAGAGTCTTAAGGGCTTTCCTAAAGGTGAGAAAAGTTGGGGTCTCTCAGATATCAGGGGAAGACCATTCCAGAGAACAGGCGTAACCACAGAAAAGGCATGCTTCTTAGGTCCCATAAGATGACACAATTTAAAAGAAGGAACCCGGAACATGCCCTCCCCACGGGAGCACGTGGGGGCAGACAAATGTTTTGGGAGAAGGTGGTCCTTCAAGGCAGGCAGATCCTACACTCTCAGGAGCAGGCCATCCCCAGTTAACCCAGTCCTATGCCATGTAGGGCTTTAAAGGTAATAACCACCACCTTGAATTGCACATGGAGGCCTATATGGAGCCAATGCAAGGTGTTACGTGAGCATAACGAGATGTATCCGTAACTACCTGCGTTGCTGCATTCAGGACCAACTGAAGTTTCTGGATGGTTTTCAAGGGTAGCCCTGTGTAAAGTGTGTTGTAATAGTCCAATTGGGAGGTGACCAAGGTGTGAGTGACCATAATTGTACTGATCCCTGTGCTGATTGGTAGCTTTTTGAACAGAGGACTGATGCACGTGACAAACTCCCCCCTTAGTAAAACAGCCTTAAACCTTATCACTACTTTTGTATTTCTTCATAAAGTTACTTTTCTTGCTAAACTTAGCGTTCATGAATGTATCTGTTGCATACTGGCACTACTGTCGTAAATAAATAATTGAAATACTTAAGATATTGGCTTTGTGGATATCTTACAAAGGAAGAAATTGAATTCTGTACCTCAGTGTTTCCTATTAAACATTCAAGCACTACTTCCCTAATGCATTCATTACAACCATTTCTTTTGTACTTGAGTATTAAAATTGCCTTTTTTAAAAAGATTGGCACCTCTCCTGTAAAAGAGGACAAAGAAGCTTTTGCTGTGGTACCAGTTTCTCCTGCAGAAGTTCGAGACTTGGACTTTGCAAATGATGCAAGCAAAGTATTGGGCTCTATTGCTGGCAAGTTGGAGAAAGGAACAATAACTCAGAATGAAAGGAGGTAAGAGGATCATAATGTCTTTTTTTAAAGAGAAAGAGATACCATTCAGAAAATACAGCTTTTATATCCATTTCTGCAACATCAATATCAATATCCAGGCATCTACAATACCCCCAGAAGTAATTGCAGAGCCTAAAGTGAAATAAAAATGAACACTTTAAACATAGGTAACAGCGGGTCAGGTCACCCAATCTTACAGGATTTTTATGTCTGTATTAGTAATTTTGTGTGAGCATGTGCAAGATCTCATCCAGATTGAAAATCTTACATTATTTTAGGCAATTAAAAATATTGCCTAAATTTAGTTTGGATTTGGCCTGCTTAAATGCAATGTTTTTGAGATTGGTTTTGGATTAAATATTCTTAATATGTGTCTGTTTTCTTAACTGAATGGAATTGCAGGATGTATTATTGTGTGGGCTATACCTGTATTAAATTTTGGATTAATAACTAGATTTTTTAAAAAAAATCTCTCTAGATCGGTTACAAAGTTGCTGGAAGATTTGGTATATTTTGTTACTGGTGGAACAAATTCGGGTCAAGATGTACTTGAAGTAATGTTCTCAAAGCCAAACCGAGAACGGCAAAAACTAATGAGAGAGCAAAATATTCTAAAGCAGGTAAACAGGGGTTTGCTATATCGAGGTGGGTGTCACATTCCCTCCAACATTCAGGTACTGTACAAACAATGACTGTAAAGCAGTAAACCTTGGGGCAAAGAGTCCAAACTTGGAATGGCAAGAATTTGGGATCATATTACCTACTGTTAAAACATATTAGACCATATGATCTGCTCTTGGAACTGGTTGAAGTAAAATTGTCCCATTGGTATCTGCTTAGTTTTTACTGAGTTAATACTAATACTATGTTTGCTATTGCCTTTCCTACCTAATGCCCAGATATAGTCAAATAAGTAATTTCAGAATTCTCATGACTATTGGCTAATTTTGAACTTGTTCATTGGCTTGTATTGTGGAGTTTAAACTATAATCAGTCTTTTCCTCATGTAACTGCCACAAGTTACATTATTATTTGTCACAGAAGATGCCATTGATGCTATACATTGTGGCACCTTCTCCAGGTCATCATGACACCGTTAGCTGCCATCATTCCTGTCCTAATAGATAGGAAGAGGGTAGGATGTGTAAGAAGGGAGAGGTGCCCTCAGCATTGAACCAACCCCTCCTCTGAGGTCCTTCAGTTCTGAGGTCACCCACATCTGTGGTGAACAGCAACTAGCAAAGTAGGTCTCCTTGCTACCACCACTCCTTTGCTATTATCTGGTTTCTCCCTTCCACACCAGCCCTTTGGGAACCAGGAGAGGATTGAAGGGGAAATCCTCATCCCACCCTGGGTCTGTTTAAATACAGAAGGGGAAACCTAACAAAAACTTTGAGAGTCTGTATCTCAGCCAAGCTGAGGTGGGTGATAGAAGGCACCCAGTCAATTTCAGGATTGAAACAAAAAAAGCCCTTAATTATAAGTACCAAAAGAAAATGAGTTTCCATACACACAACAGACAGTTTAAATACAAGAAACCCTAACACAATTAGAGCTAAATAACTTTCAACCTTCCCTGAGGAAAGCCCCTCATCCAGGACTCCAGTTAGCTCCCTCTCAAAAGACACCCCAAACTCTCCCTTCTTTTCTTTTATTGGCCCTCAGAGGTCAGGTGACTCCCCCTGGGGACAACAGGCTGGCTTGTGATTTAAAGGGCCAGCTTCTCCCCACTACAACACATCATGTGGGTGAAACCTCCCTGTGGTTGAGGTGACTGACTGCATATGTGAAGTCGTACAAGAGAATGGCTGGATATTTGCTTTATGCTAGGCAATAATATGGTTTATTTGTTTTTGGCTTAACATGTTCCATGAATCCACTCATTATGTTTTAGAAAGGGTAGATGATGACTTTGTGTGAACTCAAGCTCGTTCACCATCTCATCATGGTGACTTATCCCATCATGATTAGTGTAATGTTTGAACCCAATCATTATATATTAAGAGGTTACTTATATTTTTGATTGTGATAGTATAAAGGTAATTTGTTTTTTCCTCAAATAATGTACCAGATTTTCAAGTTATTACAAGCACCATTTACTGACTGTGGAGATGGACCAATGCTGAGATTGGAAGAACTTGGTGATCAACGCCATGCTCCTTTCAGACATATCTGCCGGCTCTGTTACAGAGTGTTGAGACACTCCCAACAAGACTACAGGAAAAATCAGGTTAGTAAAACTTGAAAGAGCCTAAATATTAAGCCTTACCAGGTGGCAGTACTAGCCAGCCATAGCTGATCTTAGGGAAAAAAAAAAAAAAACCTGAGCAGAAATGACCTGGCTAATACTTAGATGGGAAACCACCAGGAAAGTAGATTGAGAAGTTGAAAAAAAAAAAAAAAACATACCAGAAGAAGAAGGCCATGGCAAACTACTTCTGTGTTGTTGTTGCCAAGAATCAGAGTCAACAAATTGGAAGGGGCCATTTTTAGGCCATTAAGTCCAACCACCTGCTCTGTGCAGGACTCCAAACAAAAGCATCCCCAAGAGGATGTTTGTTTCCTCTTTAACTCATCCAACAAAGGGGAGCCCAGTGCCTTTCTTGGGTAACTGTGGCATAGAATGCTCTTAATGTTAGGGAGAACAGTTCTTCCTAACAAAGAGTATGCCTTTCTGCTAACTTGACCATGATTTGCATTTTGCAATCTGGAATGAGAGAGAAGAGGTGATGACCTTTTTCTGTGTGACACCCTTTCATGTATTTGAAGAATGTTGTCATATCCCCCTTCGGCATCTTTCTCAAGGTTAAATATACCCAGCTTCTTCAATCTTTCTTTATAGGTCTTAGTTTCATTGGTTATCCTCAATGCCCTTCTGTGTACCTGTAATTTCCCTGAATTGTTCTTAAATGCCTGGGATTGGACACAGTACTTCATGTAGATTCTGACTACAGATACTCCCATGATTTGGAAATTGTACTTCTACTGATGCAGCTAAAATTGCTTTTGGCTCTTTGCAGCTATGTCACACTGCTTATTTTCTGTTTGTGGCCAACTACAATCCCAGGACCTTTTTCACAAGAACTACATAATGTCATTTCATGCCAGATATATCCCATCCTATATCTGCGCATTTGATTTTTATTTCCTAACTGAAGAACTTTGCACTTACGTCTAGTGGATTGGTTAAATTCCATCATTTGGTATTTGGAGTAGATCTGCAACTTGTAAACTTCCATCCATTCAATATCTGGGCAAATAATTGCTATTTGCTTAATGTGAAGTAGATGAGTTATGATTTATCTGAATAGTAATTGGACCAAAAATCAGAACTGAAAACCTAGTTTAGTCTTAAGAATATGTCTTGTTTTTGCTTAAGAGCAACAAATTACATCCATAAATCTATATAAATAAATTTTATAGTGGAATTAGCATTTATTTTCTTCCTCCCTCCCCTTTTTTAATACTTTGCAAGGAATACATAGCCAAGCAGTTCGGCTTCATGCAGAAACAGATTGGCTATGATGTCTTAGCAGAAGATACAATAACAGCCTTGCTCCACAATAATCGTAAACTGTTGGAGAAACACATCACAGCTGCTGAGATTGACACCTTTGTTAGTCTTGTAAGAAAAAACCGAGAGCCCAGGTGAGTTTTTTAACCACTTGTTCTGTGTAAAAAAAAAAAAAAAAAAATGGGGGAGGGCACGACCATTTAGTAAGCTCAGATAGGCTTACAACTAATAGCAGTTTGGAGTCTTCCTGCCTTGGTAGTGACTCTGGGCTTATCATTCTGCTGTTGTATTGTGAGTCACCTCATAATCGCACGAGTTCTAATGATTCCCAAGGTGATGAACAGGGTATCCCAATGCCTGTTCTCTGTGCCCACCCCCTGTGGTTTCAATGGAGGCTTTTTGTTAGCTCTTTCCTACCTTACGTTACTATGGATTAGCATAACTTATTGAAATCACATCTGTTGCTGATTTGAAAATGGATACATCTTGATTCTGTGAGGGTCATAGCAATTTTTAATTTTTAAATATTTTAAAAGGGGGTTTTAGGTGATCAGAAATGGAAGATGAGCTAAAGGGGTTCTTGTACTTATGTACTATGAAGCTTCAGATATATTTCCACAAATATTTAGCATGTAGCTTATCATATGGTTTAGTAGAATCTGGAATACTGTGCACATTTTATAGACTTTGTTTTCTCCTCCCAATAGGTTCTTGGATTATCTTTCAGATCTTTGTGTGTCCATGAACAAATCTATTCCAGTTACCCAGGAGCTGATTTGTAAAGCTGTATTAAATCCAGCAAATGCTGACATACTCATTGAAACTAAGTAAGTTTAGATATTTTTAAACAGCTTTCTTCATTTTAGAAAGAAGGCAACTATAGCAAAGATGGCAAATAAAAATTACTACTAGTTTGGGAGAAATGCAAAAAAGAAGAAGAGGAAGAGGAAGAAGAGATTTATAACAATAGCATGTTGCTTTCTGGATTCTCCAACCAGTTTATAAGCCTAGAACTAGGCAGTATCTGATTAAATAGATTTAAAAAATCAGTAAGAGCCATTACTGTGAGTGAAACTGCATAATGTAGCCTATTTGTTACTAAAGGATGTAATGTTACCTAGGTTTGGAAATCAAATGGAAATCTAGTCATACATTGTGAAAGTAGAAATATAAGTAATTGTTTTTCATTCTTGCATAATTCTTTAGACTGGTCCTGTCTCGGTTTGAGTTTGAGGAGTTATCCTCTGGAGAGAACTCACTGGAGGTTGGTGAGGATGAAGAAGAAGTCTGGTTATTCTGGCGAGACAGCAGCAAAGAGGTCCGCAGTAAGAGTATCAGAGAGCTGGCACAGGATGCTAAAGAAGGGCAGAAGGAAGACCGGGATGTCCTCAGCTACTACAGGTTAACATTACAAGTAATCCTTGGCTATAGCAGTGTTACCTGAAACATGTAGAGCATTTGAATAACATTTGTAATTTTATTCAATGGCCTCTTCTTATGACTTGAAGGCTAATATTTATAATTAATTTTAAATAGTAGCTATCAAAAACATTTTCCATTTGGGAAGTATTTGGAAGTAGGAAAGAACTTGTTGTGATAACAGCTTTATACAGCTGTGACAACAGGTTCATACAGTCAATCTGCTTCTTGCAGTGACCATGAAGTAAGTGTCATTTTGTACATCTGCTTCTGTATTAGAAACAGCTGAAAGGCATTTGGAAAATCAGTTGTTACAGTGAAAATGCTTATTTTCTAAAATATAGATCTATTATTTTGTTCTTTATAGTATGTTCTTTTAGGGTTAAATAACATTAGTCAATATAATATATTTTTCAAAAAGGTTTGGCTGTGTGATAGTACTATTCAAAACATTCTGTAAAATTTTTGGATCCCAAGTCTGTGTTCATACAATGTACTAAACACAAAAAACCTAATGTAATGAGGATCTGCCATTATCATAGCCTCATTTGCATGCTTCACTTTAATCAAGGTTTGATTTCCATGTCATGTAAGCACAGAGTGTCTACCAGTTCGAAACTGAATGTTGGACATTAACAATATATGTTTGGTGTAAGATCCATTTTACACATATGCAAAATGTCAGCTGCTCTAATTTCATACATAATGGCAAAATTCAAAGCTTAGTTAAATAGGTAATCAGGTCATGGAGCATGAATGCCTGTTAACCAGATTTACAGTGTAATTTATTACCTGTATTTTTTAATCTGGTCAATTCATAAAATATATTTCCATAATCCATAAAATATGTTTCCATTATTCACATCAGAATATACTGTATATCTTAATATGTTAAGTACACCTTCTCTGTAGCAGCACCTGCCCTCTACAATGAGGTTCCCCCGAGATCCGGATGGCCTCCACTATGCTATTGTTTAGAAGGGCTGTGAAGACCTGGCTCTTCACATAGGCCTTTGGCAAGGGAGACCCCTTGCTTCATTCCAACTGGTCTGTGGTGCTTGGCATCTTTTATCTTTATCTTTTATTGATATTATTGTAATTGTTGTGAACCACCGAGATGATGATAATGATCATTTTCAGTCTTTCAGTGCCATTCAGGTAAAATTATGCTTTCCTTCTTTCCTTCTGTTTTACAAGGTACCAATTGAATCTTTTTGCTAGGATGTGCCTTGATCGCCAGTACTTAGCTATAAATGAAATATCTGGACAATTGGATGTAGACCTTATTCTTCGCTGCATGTCTGATGAGAATTTGCCTTATGATTTGAGAGCTTCATTTTGTCGGCTGATGCTACACATGCATGTTGACCGAGATCCCCAAGAACAAGTGACACCAGTGAAATATGCTCGACTATGGTCAGAGATACCTTCTGAAATAGCAATCAATGAGTGAGTATTTGTGATCAAATGATTCTCTAAATGAAGGATGGTGACCTTAAATCCTGGGGAGTCTTCTCACTCCTATAAGAATTTCCCTTGTAGGAGGCACTGTATTAGTCGGTAGTGGCAAAAAATCAGAAAGAGTCTAATAACATATTTTCCAGCTCACAAACGCTTTTGTTTTTTAATAAAATTTGTTAGTCAAAAAAAGTGCTACCATATTTCTTGTGATAAGAATTTCCAGTCTCACTTGTCACACTCTGTACAAGTTATAAAATTGTCTTTCTAGAAAGTTATTAGTGTTAATCTAAGTCAAATAATAAATTTCTTGTACATACTTTTTTTTTCAAAGGAAAAAAGGAGGCAGGACTTTTTAAAAATGGTCTCATTTCCCTTGTTTGTTTGTTTGTTTGTTTGTTTTTTGGTTTAGCTATGATAGCAGTGGAACTTCCAAAGATGAAATCAAGGAGAGGTTTGCACAAACTATGGACTTTGTTGAAGAATATTTAAGAGATGTTGTTTGCCAAAGATTCCCATTTTCTGATAAAGAAAAAAATAAGCTCACCTTTGAGGTAAATGTTTTATGTCTTAGGCTGAGCTGCAAGGCAAATGTTGGTGATGCTAACCATCAGTGACTCTGTGGTCAGATCATGCATGTGTATTTGTGACATTTTCTCAAGTCTGCCAGTTGATTTATTCATAGATGAGTTGTATAGCCCCTGCCTAGAATACAAAAAACAAAACCAAACAAAAAATCCCAGATTCAAAATTGGGTATCTCCAGTTCAAAGGATTAGGGGGCAAGAGATGAGAAAGATTTCTCCTGAGTAGATCTGCTAGTGAATCCTGGACTAGCTAAAAAAAATATCCCAATAGTTAAAAAGGCAGCTTCAAATGTTTTTCAGCAACTTATCTATTTGCTTAGTTTATACCTTTCCATCCCCAGTAGGTCGCCTTGAACAGGAAGTTTGCTAGCAAATTACAGCAATAACTATGCAATAGAAACAGCAGTAAAATACAATGGGTAGACATCTCAGTGCACTAATAGTGGTATTTTAAAATGCCTGAGAGAACAAGAAAGTCTTCATGTGGCACTGAAAAGCCATAATGGAGATGCTGAATGGCCTCTCTGGAAAGACTTTTCAACAAATGCCACGGAAATGATGGTCTTTTTGCTCCCATCTGCTTCATGTGAAAGACCTAGATAATTTGTCATCTGCTCTGACTGTTGGAGACTTTTCAAAATCATAGACATGAGTTTTTACCAGCTAGAGAATGTTTTTGTTATTAAAAATCCCGAATATCTAATCAAAATGAAAGAAAAACAAATAATTAAATAGCCAAAAAATATAGTGAAGTGTTAAACAGATCACTCTTTTGGTATTCTTTTTGCTCCTCTTTTGCTGCTCTTTGTATTGTATTATGTTATTGTGAAAATAGTAACAGAAAATAAACAACCCCCTTCCTCCCCATCAAGAGAACTTAATACCTGGAATATAAAAATCAGTTCTGAAGGACGAGAAGCATAAAATCTGAAAAAACATAGGCACTGAGTGTTCAGTACCATAGTATTGGTATGTACTTTAGAATGAGGGTATGGAGAAACTTACTATTTTGCATAAAAATACTATTTGTACATGGCTGATTTTGGTATCTTAGACAATTTCATGAATTTTATGGAGAATATTGAATTCATTAAAAAATCCAATTCAACAGGTTATCTTCTCTTCTTTTAAAAACAGGTTGTGAACTTAGCCCGAAATCTGATATATTTTGGCTTCTATAATTTTTGTGATCTTCTAAGATTAACAAAAATTCTCTTAGCTATTCTGGACTGTGTACATGTTGCAACTATCTTCCCTATTACAAAGGCAGCAAAAGGAGAAGAAAGTAAAGGTAAGAATGGCAAGGGAAAGTGAAGGAGGTCCTTCTGTTGAGGGACATTTGACCTATCAAATAATGGGACGGCAGGGCCTTTAGGCTTTTTCTCAGGCCAGGTTTTGTGGGATTGGATTGCTGTCTACAGTCCTTTCACACTAAGGTATAGGTGACAACCAATACCTTGAATTTCACCCAGAAGCTCATGGTAACCAATGCAGCTCACAGAGCAATGGGATTATGTGGCAAAGCAGGGAAACCCATAGCTACAGGTATGGCTGCATTTTGGACCAGTTCTGGCTTCTGAGTGAACTTCAAGAGTAACCCTGTGTAGAGTGTATTGCAGTAGTCCAGATGGAAAGTGATTAGATCAAAAGTGACTATGAGAAGGCCCTTCCAATCCATGAAAGTATGTAATGCATGGATTTATGCAAAGGCTTCCTGGCCATGACTGCCACCTGCTCACTGAGAGTTCAGGAGAATTCCAAAATTATGTACCAATTCTGCCTGGGACAGTGCCACCCTGAAGATAGTAAATTGCTAGGACCAGCAAGTCCATGATACCAAAGCCACTTGGTCTTGCTAAGGTTGAACTTAACCCCATTGTTCCCCACCCAGATCCTTCCAGCTTTTAGACACTGAATATACATGGAAAACCAGTGCCAAATGTTACAAAAGCACGAATATGCTTCCTTGTCCTGACAATATTACATTGTGTTTGTTCCTGCCATTCCCCAATTAGTTTAGAGAACATGGAACGTAGAATAAGCAGTATATATACGTTTAAATAAACAAATATTGTATATTATAGAAGCAAAGACAAAAAAAAAAGACTAATTATAAAGCTGCCATTTTTGGTGGAGCATCATGTTGTTTGTAATGAATGGTAGGTGCCAATGTGAGACAACAGAAGTACATCAAAGAGTAGAGTAGTACGTGAAATATCTGTAAAGTATGTGTGTGCTAGAGGAATGCATAGTTTGTAACATATCTGGGGAAAAGATATCCCTTCCATCTCTTTCTCCAGTTTGTGCATAATAGCTAGATAATATGGAGTTGGGTTGTGTAGAGATTGGTACAGGTATTCTTTGATCTGCTGTAACGTGTAACATATAGAACACTCATGTTTTACAGCATTGAGATGAGGTTTCTCTTCATTAAGAATTATGCAACTAGTTCTGCAGTAATGCAAATTTAAAATGTTTGTCTGGGGTATTTATCTGTTTCTGAAGGGAGCAATGTGATGAGATCCATCCATGGTGTTGGAGAGCTGATGACCCAAGTAGTACTTAGAGGTGGTGGGTTCTTGCCTATGACACCCCTGGCTGCTGCACCGGAAGGTAACGTGAAGCAAGTTGAACCTGAGAAAGAGGACATCTTGGTAATGGACACGAAACTGAAAATAATTGAAATACTCCAGGTATACTTTAGATGACATGGCATGGACATTTTTGCCATTCTTATATGATTTTGATTTTGATTAGAATTAGAAGTAAACAAACATTTTTCCCAACTATATTAACTGTAAGGTAATTGATAATGATTTGTTTGCAGTAAAACATTGAATAAGTAAGATTGAAGGGAAATATTGTTGAGAAGATGCAGAGCAGAGCAATTCAGTGGAAATACTTGCAAAGCCACATCTTCCACTAACAGTAGTTCAAAGGCTTCATTTAAGTGCTTTTTCAGAATTTCTTTTAAGCCTTGCACTGTCTACTGTTCAGTTCTGAGGGCATTCCACCACCATCCAAGTCAACATACCTAGAGTTAGAGCAAAACCTTCTGTATAGCCCAGTACTTTCTTGAGATACGCATTCTTGAAAGAATCTTGAGAAAATTCTGGCATTTCTAGTTAGAAAGATCAGGCCCATGAATTTGTTAAAATATTTGGCCAAATTTTTTCTTATTTCTTGCAAATTACAAATATCATCTATAAATTTGGAATCATTTGTATCCAACACTGATGATAATTTAAGAATTTCTGACACTACTAATGGAAGCAGTCCAAATTGTATGGTTATATATATGGTTAAAATAATGGAATATGTTGCTATTCAGCAGTTTTAGACAATCAAAATTCTTGCTACTATACAATGAACATTTTAAAAGATTGATAATACCATTTTTCCAGGCTTTACCTGGAATTCTCAAACAGTGTTTTATCTCAATTCTAATGGTAATATAAATCAAATGTAAGCTTCCTTCCCAGCCTTAGAAAGAAGGCAACCTTCAATCCAACAGATTTAGCGTTTTTTTCTTTATTCCAGAACTGGATGAAGCTTTGCTTCTGCTGCCCCATCTCAAATCACTATTCATTCCAATGAAAATTCTTCTTATTTCTATTGATTTTAATTAAGTATAGAAAATAACTTCAGATACTTAATACACTTTAAATGTTTTGTTGTTGTTCTTGTTTATATCCTGCCTTTTGGGCTAAGTGTTGCTCATGCTTTAAATGTGTTCAACATAAGATCTGTCAAATTTTAAGCATGTTTGTTTCTTTGGCTACAAACTGGATAGAATTATATTATTAATATTGTTTTCATTTTTGTTCAAATGCCGGAACCACCAGTTTATTTTGAATGTGAGATTGGATTACCGAATCTCATGTCTTCTGTGTATATTTAAACGCGAATTTGATGAAAGCAATGCCCAGACACCTGATTCACCTGCAGGGAGCAATAACCAAGAAATGCCAAATGTACCAGGTGAGTAATTACATATTGTTGTATTGCAGAGTGTGAACAACCATTTTTCAGCATGGGAGCCGCTGTTTTTTCCTCTAGCTGATGCTGGACCCAGTCCAGTGATGTAATGGTATTATCAAAAGAGGCAGCACAGAGATTATTGACCCATTATTTTGAAGATTTATGAGATGATTTTAAGGCTATTGGTGGTACATTTTGTGTCACAGAAGCTTAGCATACCCACTCTCATGTTGATGTTTTGCATTAATATTTGGACTACTGAAATATGTTTTGGCAGTTTCAACTTTTTTCCCACTGATTATTTTTTATTACAGGTGGAAATATTTTTGCTTTGTCTTGCACAACATTAGTACATTCTTTTGCAGTCTTACACACCAAAAATGGCCTGTAATATTGATTTTAGATAGTATAAATAGCAGTACTTTGTAGGTTATTTCCTGTTGTAATTAGTAACTGAAGTAGTTCAGAATAAAATTAAAGCAACATCCATTCCACTTTCTAAGCAAAGTAGAAGTTATGGCAATTTGCTAATATATTCCTGTTGCATAAGATGTAAGCACGGGTTATACAAAGATTTCTTGTATCTTTGGGCTGGCTTAGAGCTTTGAGAGTTGCAGTCCCATAGCTCTGGAAGATGCCAGATTGGGGAAGGTGTGCCTAAAGAAATGTAATCAGTATATTTGGATTTATTCATTTAGGGGAAAGAGGGGATATTTGAGTTACTGATTCATCTACTGTTTGTATATTCTGTGTGACAGCCAGTTCATAAACCCAGGTTCTACTCACATTTTGAATTCATGAAATCTGGCAATGAATGGTATTAGGAAAAAAAGCACAGATGGATAACATACAAGTTGCTTATTCATTTTCTGCTGATCTGGGAAAATGACAAGTTGTCTTTAAGCATTAATATTATTTTAAAAAATGGAGCAGTATCATCTACTACCACCTCTCTGTCTTGGTATAAACTATTCCACTAAGCAATTTCTATGCAAACTGTTTAAATTTCCATTACTGGCTTAATTTATATAATGCAGTTTTGAAGCTTGGATTTCCTTTCACAGAAAACTGCCTTGCCTGTCAGGTGCCGGTTCTTAAAATTCACTTATTTTAGTCTGTAGAAAGGGAAAAATGATGGTTTGATTTGAATTATTAATTGCTTTATTGTTCTGAACTCAGCATAGAGCACATTATTTCTTTTCCTTTACAGGTGCTCTTGACTTTGAAAATATTGAAGAACAAGCAGAAGGGATATTTGGAGGCAGGAAAGTAATCTATGGCAATTTGTATTCTTCTGTTCTTGACTATATGTAAAACAGTTTCTGGAAACCTGATGTTCACAGTTTTTAGAGGATAAATTCTGGAGGTCCCCATTATAGTACCAGTGTGCCCATGGGCATCTTTTTTGGTACCCTCTAGGACTGTTTTGGGATTGACCATACCATCTTGGCAACTGTTTTCCAAGTATGGAGTATGAATGTGTTCTCAAAAATTCAGATATACCTACCTAGCCAAAAAGATTGTGAGCATTCAGATCACTTATAGCAATTATTTGAGTACCCATTTACTTACATATAAGCCTCCACCATTACCTTTCTTTCAAAATATAATGGATTTTTAATCAAAAAATGAAGGGATGCTACAGCTTAGTGCTGCCAAAGATTCAAGGATTCAGGAGAAGAGGCTTTAATAACACACAAAACCAGGTACTACAAACTTTAAGATCCAATGTTCAAATTAAACATCTCTTTCTCCCACCTGTACATTTCAGTGAATGGAGAGCCTGTTGTTTTTCTATAGGAGAAGCAGTTGACAGCTGAACATTATTATTGTAATGGCTCAGTCTAGTCCCACATTCTTTGCTTTTTTCCTGTACTGGCTTTCTAAACAGCATTCATGTGTAAGAGCTCTCAAAGCTACAAATATGCCCATCGACCCAAAAGAGTTAGTGGCCTTTGCCACAATTTTTACGTTGAAGGTTGAAGAGCAGTGCTGTGAGGCACATAATTTTGTGTCTAAGCATAGACAGCAGACAAGCCAGAAGCATAATCAATCATTTTATAATCACTTTATTAAGACATACTCTGTAAGCATACATATGCATTCATTCACATGCGTGCAATGTATCTATCAAAAAGGAACAAAGTAGAGAGAAGGACATAAAGGGGAATGGCTTTGTCCTCCATGGGCCAAATGGATGAAAGAGAGTTGAGGGATTCCAAAGAGCTCTTTAAGGGAGAGCCTTGGATTTCGAACACCATGTTCTCTCCTTTCTATTCCACAGGTCATGGTATCTATGGTAGTTCTTATAATAAGTGTTAGCTCACATTTTGTTCTAGTAGTGTACATTTTCTTGTTTGATGTTTTCAGCTCCATTATCAAGGGCATAAACCCTTGTATATTAATATAAATGTTAAATGGTTGTATTTCTAGGAAATGAATGGTGCTGTCCTGCAGAATATGTTTTTATGTTTAATAGTTTTATTGTTTTTAATGTTTTCTAATTATTTGTTTTTGTGGTTGTCTTTATATTGCTTTTTTTTTTTTCCTTTTTAACTCTGTAAGCCACCCAGAGTTGCAGCAGTGAAATGGGGGGGGGGGG